GTACAATAAAGCCTTAGTTAACATTTCTTGGTTTCTTTGCTATTTACTTGGAAATTTTGCCATTTAAATATATTCCTATGTATTTTTAGAAGATATACAAGTGTATTTTTAAAAAGATTGCCAAACAAATACATTTTAAAAGACTTAAAAATTTCAAAGCAACAAAGTAGACAATATACATAAATAGCGTCACCAGCGGTAGAATGAAAGGTCTGCTTTAGTGTCTGAGACCACTCCTCACATAGATCATAAAAAGTGCTGAGAAGAGTTGGAAATGATCTTATGACATGCTTTATACCAATGCCATCATGATGGTAATTTATGTTATATATGTATTTATATATATAGTTTATATTACATGCTTTGTTAAAAGAAGATCCAGAAACTTGTTCTTACAAACACAAGTCAAGATGGTGGAATAATGATAAATCTCTCTCCAAGGACAAAGACGAGGGGACCTTAAACTTAGAATTGGCAATGGTCCCTGCACACCTGCCATGGGGACTGCTCTGGAGACAGGATCTTCTGATCTCCGTCTGTGAGCACAGCCCCTGAAGCCTGGCAACATGGTAAGAAACACACATGTGTTTATGTGTGCTTATGCATGCACACACACACACACAGTCCCCCAGTCACCTGGAGCTATCAGGGACCATGGCAATAAGTAGTCTCTGTGCTTGAGGGAGGTGGGAGCACACAGCCTTAAGAAGCCAGAAAGGCCAGCCATGGTGGCGCAGTGGTAACACAATGCTCTGCACTGATGAGGCCCCATGAGAAGGCCCCAGGTTCACACACCAAGGTCTCCCCGTGCATGTCAGCTGTGTGCACACATGCCCGTGATCATGATTGGCTGAGTCTGGAAGTGGGGTGGACCACAGTGTGAAGACCCTGTTGGGAATGCCTGTCTCCCTCTCTCTCTCTGTCTCTCTCCCTCTTTCATGGAAGAACTTTTTATAAAACAAGTAGAAGCCCTGGGCCTCAGGGATGGTTTGCATTTCTGCTAGTTCAGTCTCCAGTGTGGGGTTTGCACATTGCTTTGAGCCTTTACTTTTCTACTTGCTGCCTTTCAAGTTCTGAAGACTGGAGGCGTGGCCTCCTCTCACACTGTCTCCTCTGGGCACCTCTTAACGTCAACGCACATCTTGAACTGTCCTCTTTCTCTCATCTCAGGCAGCACAGACTTGCTCCTGTGATCACCAGATGGCATGCACAGGTTAATTTTCATTTACACAGTTGTGAATACCAATGCGCAAGGAGCAGTATCAGAGCAGGCCTGGCACGTTCATAAAGTATTTCTCAGCTTCCATGGCTTCCATTTTTGTTCCTACAGTACTTAGAGAGGCATATTGCTATCCTAAAGACTTTTTTCATGGAGTGTGCGCCTAATGCAATGTGAAGAAAACTATCATTAATGGAAAGAGTATATTTGCAAAGATGACTTGCATTTCATTTATGAGCACCTATTTAAAAATATCTATCTATATCTATAGATAGATATTTAAATCTCGAAGCTGATCTGTTGCTTAGACTTTTGAGATTTCCCACTGCTTGGCCTTTTTCCCTACTCTGTATGCAGAGCACAGATTCCTGCCAAGCCTATTACAGTGAACAAACAATGTCCTCTCTGTCAGGCAGAGAATGAATAGTATCAGAAAGTTCTTCCCTAATGTACAGCCTACGTTTCCCCCATCCCAGCCCCTTCAGAAGAGAACAACCAGGATGATGACTAAGGAGGAGACCGTGACTCTCCGCTGGCTGATCTGAAATCGCCTTCTGGAACACCAAAGCCTGAGTAATGACAACTGTATATTAACTTCTGAACAGGGAAAGCTGACAAGTATATTTTCTTTTAAAATTGGATCATCTGGTTTTGCCTTTCTGTATGTATAAGGTACACAAATATCTGTATCAGGAAGGAAGGAACTGTTGCATCAGATAAAATTTCAGGGCTTAGCGAAGAAAACAGCTTTCAGTTACAGACTGAGGAGCAACTGGGGAACTTCATAGAAATGACACAGCAATTTGTGTTAAAATATTGGCAGTTAATTCATGAATGCTGAAGCAGGCTATGAATTCAGCTGCTACTGTTAAGCTTTTATTCCCACGAAGCTCATGATTCATAGAGAAAGTGCCTAGAGTTTCTCCTCTGAAACATACAGTATGATGCAGACAGATTCTTTTTTTGGTTGGCCTCTCTCTTCTCTCTCTCTCTCTCTTATACACACACACACACACACACACACACACATTCTTCTCCCCTCCCCACAAGAGACATTTCATTTCATTCCAAATGAAAACTTCTTAAAGCACTTCCTACAAGCCAACAAAAGGCATACTTAGGTGTTTTCATAAAATACAACTTTCCTTAAATCTTCCACATTTGTCAGTCTTAGTTGGTGTAAAACATGCAGGGTTTTTCCACCTTGTGACAAAAATAGAGTATATGTTTTATTTAAACCTTTAGAATTACCCAATTCTTTCCCCATAAAGGAAGACATGCTATTTTTGTAATCAAGCTACACTAAGTTTTGTTTTCGTGGATCTCTGTATCCAAGAAAAAGCTTGGATCCCCCTTTCCCACGCATTTTCAGGACAGCTCAATGAGCTCCCGGATTCTGATGGCATTCTCCTGGTAACGCATTTAGAAGAGGCTGCAGGACACCTCAACCACTCTGCTTTCTTCTCTGTCTCATATCACTCTAGGTCTGCATTAGACTAAACAACCAAATCTTTGTGTGGTATCCCAGAAATTCAAAAATTCTAATTATGGGCCTCCTTATTGACACAAGGATAATATTTACCTTGGAGGAATGTTTGTCCAAAAAGTATTCCAATTTCTGGCAATATATTCCTTTTGAAATGTGGTTGTGGTGAGAGTTCTTGCTTCTTTCTTGGCCTGTCACCAAAGAGAAAGAAAGTTAGAAAAAAGGCAGATGGATATAGACTGTGAGATACTTGTCCAGTTGGCCGTCGAACCGTGAGCATATTTATGCCACACTCAGCTTTGTGCTCCTTCTCAAACAAAGCAAACTGCAGAGTAGAGGCAAAATTACAGAGTGGTGAGCATTACAAAATTTTCTCTAAAATAATTGCCAAGTAAATGTCTAATGAAATACAAATCATTTTACTTGCCCTTTCCAAATTTTACCACTTTATGACAAATAAATGGTATGATATTGAAGTAACAGTCAAATTCAAGTAACTATTGCCTGAATTTGAGATGAAACAAATGACTTATTTGAAAAGAGCATTTATCATTTTTGGTCAGGTAAGCTGTGATTCAATTCTATACGTTTCTTATTAAAAGAAGATTCTTCAGTATAGCATGGATGGTGTGACTTAAATGATATGTAGCTCTAATCCAAGGCATTCTTCATATGTTCTGCTGTTAACATGGAGAAGGTGAACAGAGAAGGAGAAAACTACGGGGATGACTTCCTTTGATCTCCCTCTGATTCATCAGCTTCCATGTTCTGTGATTTTGCTCTATTTCGAAGGTCCAGACCTCCCTCCACTCCTTTCTTCTCCTCGTTCTCTTTTTATTCTCTAATGAGTATCGCCCATCTTTTTTTTTTTTTTAGAAGTTTTTGCTATAGGGCGTGTGCGCTCACCAGACAGAGAGAGACAGAGAGACAGAAAGTGAGAAATCACCCCCCCCCCCGGGGGAATGGCCACGCCGCAATCCCTTCTCCCATTCTCCTCTCAGGATCTTGGGCACGCACGCACACGTGCGAATTGTGAGTTTTAAGTCACCGGATCCGGGACGTGAACTGCGGTCGACTATGTGAGAGTCCAGCGACATAGCCATTATGCTAACTGCTGGTCCCCCAGTATCTTCCAGCTTGAACATTTATTTTAGATTAGACAGCATGATTAGATGCAGAGTGAGAGGGATACAGAATGAGTAAGTTTATACTCTAAGGAGAATATCATGGCTGCTGACTAATACTCAGACTTCTCAATTATGTTAATAGACTGAGGCATGTTCATTTATTTTTAATATATAAAACCGAGTAGAAACAAGCCTGTTAGATTTGCATCTGTGGATATTCTTTTGTTAGGGCCACATACAATCATCTTTGAGTTTTGTTTCCTTCCATCACCGAGTCAGCAGATTACATTATCTTGAGGTACATCTGTTGTGTTCTTGACAGTTATCATGTGAGAAACAGCTGCCTTTTGTTTGTCACTGCATTCAGCTACATTATTATTTCCTTTTCTTTTTAATAAGTCTAGAAAGATCAGAACAAGACACGCAATCGCGAACTGCCTCTCTCCAACCTGACTCCAGGTCTTTCCATTGTCAATCACACAAACTAAGAGGACAGGGCTTCACAGAGTGAAGGGCTTGACAGACAAGGAAGTTCCCAAGCCATCATCCTACTCTTTCATTAGATTTCAAATTAAACCTCCTTCGACACACCTGCCATACAGATATATGCAGATGTGGTGTGCAGTTGTAAACCTCTGTTTCTTCATGTCATCATGATCAACCTCAGAAAACTTTCGTGAATGAGTTAGACATATGGGAAAGATTTAATGATATAAATCAAATTACTGTAGTAAAAAATAAAAAAGAGTAAACATTTTCTCAAAACACCAAATTCTATTAACATGTTTCAGATATAATATTTTAATATGGATTCTCTATTACCAGATGTTTGTAAATAGCCTGATTTGAAAATTACAAATATGATATGATGGTTAATTTAATAACATGAAAGTGGTATGTATTTTTGCATATTCAGAATATACATTTCATGAGTTAAAAATATTCTAAGGAAATCAGGTAATCAAAACAGTAGCATTGTTATGAAGATACATATATAGACCAGTGGAATAGAATTTTGGTACCAGAAATGCACCCATATATTTTTATTCCTTTATATTACCAACTGACTTTTTTGACAAAGAGTACCAAGACTATTCAATGAGAAAAGAACAATCATCTCAAACATTGTCTGGAAAAACTAGTCATATGCAAAAGAAGTTGGATACTTAACTCAGACCATTCAAATATAAAAAGTTAACTCAAAATACGTGAAATGCCTATATGCAAGAGATTAAACTACAAAATGCTTAAAAGAAGACACAGGTATAAATACTTGTGAGCTCAAATTTGACAAAGGAGCTTTAGATACGATATCAAAAGCACAAGCAACAAAAGAAAAAATGGATAAATCAGATTTCATCAAAATAAAAATATCTGTGCTTTAAAAGGCACTATCCAGAAAGTGAAAAGACAACCCAAAGAATGGGAGAAACATGCACAAATCATATCTGATATATATAGCATCTAGACTATATGAAGAATAGTTATAATTCAATGGATGAGATTTGGTTGTGATGGGATTAAAAGGTAGAAGCTTAATCCGCACATGGTATTGAAAGGTAGGTGTCTCTGAAAGGAGATTAAGGTTAAGATAATTAGGTAGGGCCATCATGATTGAAGTCTAGTGGGTTTACAAGACAAGGACATTAAGTCAAAGGAACAAAATACACAGATGCATGCACTCCTCGTTTCCATTATGTTGAAATGCAGCTAGAGGACCCTGACTAGATGTGACTCCTGGACCTTGGATCTCCAAACTATGAGCTGAACAAACTGTTATTCTTGTAAGTCATCCAGTTTTAGGTATTTTCTGTTATTAGCAACAGAACTAGAACAGAACAAGTGCTTCCTCAAATCCACTTTCATCTTCATGACTATCTCTAAATATGTGTTACAGTTAATTACTGCTAACCACTACTGACTCAATTAAACAAAAACCCTATGATACTTCAATATTGATTTCTTTCTCTACTCAGTGGAATTTTAGGACTTCTAAAACCAGCAATCTACTCAAATATAATGGTGCCTTCCAATCCACATATACTAAGTCAGTGAATTACCAAACTCAGTCCTGTTTCTTTTTCTTTTTTCTTTTTCTTTTTTTGTTTTGAGAGAGGTTTTTGCTATAGGGCGTATGTGCACTCGCCAGAAAGAGAGACAGAAAGCAAGAAATCACCCCCCTGAGGGGGGATGGCCACGCCACAATCCCTTCTCCTCCACTCTCCTCTTGGGATCTTGGGCATGCATGCACACACACCTGGTGTGAGTTTAAACCACCGGATCCGGGACTCGAACTGCAGTCGACTACATGGAAGTCTAGCAACGTAGCCATTAAGCCATCTGCTGGTCCCCAGCCCTGTTTCTTCTACACCTACTTCATTGACGGTTTTTAGAGGGAGTGTTCATAAGTTCTTAGCACAATGATGAAATTCATAAGAAGGCCTGAAAAAATGAACTCTGGGAGTTTGTGATGTGCTTTGCCAAATTAACCTTTAGGCTTTTTCTGGCTAAAGCCACTCAGAGGAACCAAAATAGAGTTCAATTTCTGGGACTCTGATACTCAGAAATGAGATATGCACCTGACAGATGGCTCGGTCTGAGAGAGAGGTGTGTTTTTTCAAAGATGTGCCCTAATGGTCCCTTCTGTGGAGGTAGTGATGATACTAACAGTGTACTTACCTGCAGTCTGGAAAGATAAATGCAGGGATTTGGTAGCATAGACTCTAAGTTCATGTTTGACTTTTAAAAACTATACTTGGAGGTAACATAGCTACTCAATCTGAGACTAGAATCCTAAAGGTCCATGATCAATTCCAAATTTAAAAGAAAGTTAAACATCGCCTATAAATCAAACCCATCTGATACTTAAACATTTTCTACAATGGTTATGACATCCAATCTATGACTGCAATGTCAAAAGAACCTGGTCAAACAGAACAGTGAAAAGTAGTGCGCACTGAATAAGTCACAGTGCTTAGAATACAGTAATTGCTCAATATTTATTTGCTGATTGAATTAATTAAAAAAATAAGAATAGATTAGAGGATATTGTTGTAATAAAGCTACTGTCACTCATGATCCCTGAGGACAGAGAAGTGACAGGACTGTAGGTCACGTGACTGGAAACCTACTACAGCAATATTTCACGCATGCAGGTGTCACCCAAGTATATGCTACCCTTTATCTGCAATGGAAAGAACCCAATAAACAGAATTAGACCTGCTCTTCCAGCCTGTGCTGAATTCCCTTCCATAACAAAGGGCTTCTTCCTTTTCTGGAAGTGCTCTAAGAAGCACTGCTAAATTTGGGCTGAGAATGAGGAAGGTTCTTCTGCTTCACTAGCTCAGTGTTTTCAACCAAGTTTGAGCCTTGGTTCTACTTTTAGGACCATGCAGAACAAGGCCAATAGTTTCCCAATAAGGCAATTCTTCAAATACTTGAAGACATCTATTTAAAGAAATCTTACTTTTCCTGCTCTTCAGTCTTTGCTTCTCTATTCAAGAATATAGTTTTGGGACCAGCAGTTAGTGTAATGGCTATGTCACTGGACTCCCATGTAGTCGACCGTGGTTCCAGTCCCGGACCAGGGGGCTTAAACTCACGTTGGGCGCATGTGCGTGTGTGCCCAAAATCCTGAGAGGAGAATGGAGGGGAAGGGATTGCGACATGGCCATGCCCCCTGGGTGGTGATTTCTCGCTTTCTGTCTCTCTGTCTTTCTGGAGAGCGCATGTACCCTATAGCAAAAACCTCTCCAAAAATAAAGAAAGAAAAGAATGTAGTTTTGAGTACCTGTCATATCTCTAAAGAACATAAGGCTATAAGAAGAATGGAGTGAGGCCCTGGCCAGGTCTGTACACAACGGCAGAGAGGGCTGCCAGCTTGCTCCAGCTACAAAACAAGGGAGCAGGAAGGCAACCAACACAACGTCTAATGGACAAGGTGTGCTGAGCTAATTCAGGAAATTGTCTTTTCTTGGGCTTTTGATGAAGTGGTGTTGAATTTTAGGGGCCTGGCTACTACAGGGAGGCAAAGCTATCAGTAGGGAGTAATAGACTCATGAAGC